CTTCCCTAGCATCAGCTATGTAGCGGATCTAGACGCCGGGAATTTACTAAAACTGGTGAGAAAAGCTGGCCTAGAATTATAGGGATCAGAAGGACAACGGAGCCACAATAGCCCAGTAGGGGTTCGGTGACAAGAGGGCAGCAAATGCCTATCCGTATCTTTAACCATAACCATAACCATAACTTATACTTGTCATTGACACAATGATAGATGTAGGACTTCCTTGTTTTTGTCAGTTGGAACATAACCTCACATCAGTATCTGGTCGAGTCAGCCAAAAAGTAGCATCAACTCCTCCTTATCCATACTATCTCGTTTCTCATTGAACATCAATCCCAAGGCTCGTCCCAGAGGGACAGGCTGAGATCCACCAGCCCCTGATTGGCAGCAAGATATTTATCTCTTAATTTAACTAGGGGCAGAATCTCCGAGCATCCTTCAAGGATGGGGTAGTAAGAGGACAATTTCCTTTCAGAGGGTATTTCTTGAGCAACATGGTCTTATCCTCTTTCGGAAGACCTTTAGAAATAATAGTTTGCCAGCAGTCAGCCAACTCAGGGTGGATCTCGAAAGATTCCGCCTTCTTGTGAGGATCAACCCCCAGGCATTGAAGAGTAGCTTCATCTAGACGAATTGCATCATTTTCTTTATTACGCTCCCGGCTCTCTTGAGAGACGCCTGGTTGCGACGTAGTTCCGCCATCTTGTAGAACATTGCCCATGGGTTCCTTGTCTGATGCGTCGGATACCCCTGCAATAACTTCTGTAACAAAGCAGAAAAAGATCTGGTTCATACTCCTATCCAACTAGGACGCATATCGTATGACACCCAGTCGAATTGTACGGTTTTTGAGATAAATAAACCGCCTAAAAAAAGATACTAACCTGAAGCGTTTGAAGAATCATTTGACGATTCATCCTCCAAATCCCTCAATTCTTTATCCAATAGTTCTTTATATTTGTTAACCTTCCTGTCCAAATTATGGAGACGAGACTTTGGAGAAAGACTACGCTTTTGTCGCGTAGTGAATCTGCCTTTTTATGACGATTTAATAATTCTGTGTCCTTTAGCCGTGGTGAATGCAACGTGCATAAAAAACTATGTATAGGAGTCGGCGAGACACGCACGCTGTAGTTTGTTTCTGTAGACAGTTAAAAGCTGTGGTGACACCTCGCATTAGATAGCGGTACTATGACACGTATTCATACGGGTTTTCTTTTAGTTAACAAGTTACCATTGAGTAAATGGTTAGAACAATGATTTATAAGACGTCCCCGTGGCCAATCCCCAAAAGCTCCCGATTATTCCCCTTCAAAAATAATTACAGATTAAATATTTTAGGAAGCCCATTTTCATGAAGATTAGTTTCAAAAAATAGACATCCAGGAAAAGAACTAAAAAGGGAAATAAATACGTCATTTCAGAACTTAAAAGGAACAATATAATCATCAGGATATTCAATAAATTCCAAAAATTTGATCATTGCGTTTCAACAGGCTTCATATATTATTCTTGATACAATCGGAATTTTACAACATGAAAATAAATAAATTAGAAACACTTCAATCTATTCACAATCTACTCACAAATTAATGCTCTACCAGCTCAAGCTGTAAATATGAATTTTCGAATACAATAATTAAAAATAGGCCAGTAAAACCAATTAAAAAGTTGATAAAACTATCTGACAATGAAAAACTCTTCAATTAACACTCTCACTTCTATAATATAAATTAAAATGTTAAAATTATTATTATAAATTATTAAAATATTAATTGAAACACAAAAAAGTCTCCAGTTCCAGTCCCTGCAAGTATCAGCATGACACCTTCAAATCTTTCAAAATTCTCCATAATTGCTTCAATCTCCATTTCTCGCTTCATGTACTCGGTGAGCAGTATTCCTCCTAATTTTTTCAGTGTTGAACCAATGTCAAAAACTGTTGCTGCATGTGCGAATATTTTCAACTCTGGATCGAATCCAGTGTCACGTATTCATACGTGTTCTCTATTTTATTTAGAGAATTATCATTAACAAAAAATGATTGATAAAACGATTTATGATTCGGAACCATGACCCAGGACCAACGTTAATTTTTCTACCCATGACCAATGCTAATTTTTAGGAAAATATAATTATTACCAGAAGCATTTAATTGAAAATTCGTGAAACACAATTAAAAATCAACTTCAAGTTCATTCAAACAAACCAGCCGATATATGAAAATTCATGGACAAATATAATTAATACTAAAAGCACTTTGACTTAAAATTGGTAAAATACAATTCTTGATCGATTTCCATCATTAACCACATGAACAAGCTGATTCTCATTACAAGAAAAATCATTGGACAAATATAATTAATACTAAAAGCACTTTGACGTAAAATTGGTAAAATACAATTCAAGATCGATTTCCATCATTAACCACATGAACAAGCTGATCCTCAGTACAAGAAAATTCATTGGAAAAATATAATTAATACTACAGGCACCAGGCCACTTCTACCCTAAATTCAGAAAATACAATCGATGACTCTTTCCCGAAAAATCCCAACGCATCTATTAATAAAGATAGAATAACAATTTATAATCAACAAAAATCCAATCACAATCCTAGTATCGACAATGTAGTCCTTCTGGAAACACTTAAACATTGCAAAACACCAATCTGCGTCTCTCGAAGTATCCACAGAACCCAAAAGAGAACCCGAGCACAGGAAAATAAAGAATAATTAATTAATCACGAAGCACAGATTTTCCACAATAAATATATAAAAACAAAATATATACTAACCAACCGAGAAAAAGAAGCAAACACCTGAACACACCAATGCTTCGATGACAATCAAAGGATACCTGAAAATAATTATGAACAAGTTAGAGATAATTTAAATATTGATAAAATAAATATTTGCATACTTACCCTTATAATGACGAAACCTGCATACTGGAACAACCCAGAAACACCTACGAAAGAGAGAGACGATTATGCAAATAAATCAAATAAAAATAATACACTAATTATAAAATAGCAATGTAAACATTACTGACCATGGGCAACATAACCCCATCTGTCAAACCACCGGTGACAGTTCCACCACAGCGCATAAAGGCTATCCCACATTCAGAGGCGAACAACCGCCGCTCTACTGTTCAAGCAGCAACCACAACGCCACCGCATCTGTAACTTATACATAATTCAAATATAAAATTCGCTATTATCGATACTACGAAAATTCAATTCAAAAAATAATTAAATAATAAAAATTCACAAGTATCAACGATACTACAATTTAATTAAAATATGATTAAATCAGAAAACTTCACACGGAGCAATCCTATCAAGAAATAATTCAATCGGCAAAATTAAAATAATATAAAGGCCCAAACAAAAAAAAAGGGCAATTCAATGCAATAAAATATATCAATTAACAGTCAACACTGCTAACAATGCAATGCCAATAATGCAATCTAAATTTCATGAGAAAAATCGAAAGCAAATTCAATCAAATGCGAAATGTCAATGAAAATGCAAAATAGTGATTAAAAGTATCGAATGCCTCAAAATAATTAGAAGATATGAAAAGCAACAAGCAAAAGGAATGAAAGGAATAAATAATTATGTCGAAAGAGTCTGAACAGAAATTATCATCTTGGTGTTCCAGGTCACTGAGTTTAATACAATCATTATAATACATATAAACAAATAAATACGGGACCAGTAAGGAGCCCACGAGATACAAATAATTCGGGACCAAGAAGGAGCCCACAGATACAATTACAAAAACTAATGATTACAAACGAACTGACCTGTGATATTAAGACAGGGTAAAAACCGCGATAACAAGGGATGATCTCCTGAAAACATACATTAAAACATGCCAATTCCAATGCTTTGCTAGCAAATATAATTCGAATATTAAATATGATAATAATTCAATTTTATTCAGGCACAAGTAAGACCTGACACAGATTCAAATATAATTCAACTATTAAATATGATAATAACCCAATTTTATTCAGGCACAAGTAAGACCTGACACAGATTCCAATTTAAGCAAACAATTTAAATGATGAAATAAACTTTATTCAGGCACAAGTAAGACCGGACACAGATTCAAATATAAATAAATTTTCCTCAGGCATAAATAAGACCTGACACAGAAATGCAATTAATTACATAAATAATAATTAAATATTATTCAGGTATGTCTAAGACCTGAAACAGAGAAAATGCAAAAATAAGAAGAATACGATGGAAGTGACTTTGGTATTTTGGACTCCGGCAACGAATAAAAAATGGATAAGACGAGATATAACGTAGGGGGGGCGTAACAGAATTTGTCACCTTGGCATGGCTAGTTAATTCGAACTAATAATTATCTACTTACAATTACAAATACAAAATACAAATACAAACCGGGACGAGCGTAGCCCGAAAAACAATTTATTAATTAGCCTAATTAACCTGCAATGCCACGGCAGGGTTGAACCGCGACAACGAGGAAAGTGTCCCCGAAATTTTATCAAAGCTTTGAAGTTCCAGGATTCTATGAACGAGAAAGAATTATCAGAATCTCCAATATGGTAATCAACTTATGCATTGCAAAATAAAAATGGTTAAACAAAGAATACAATCACTTCAAACAAAAATGCGAAATTAAAATACAAGAAATCAATAATAATTCATTCATTCAACAAAACATATTCAACATATACATTGTATAATTCATAAACACTAAAAATGCATCTATTTTAATGATCGACATTTCAAATGAGAGAGAATAACGCGTACGATTCAATAATAATGTCATTCAAATTCCACAACTGTCAACATTGTTAATAATATTACTTAAAACAGCGAATATATAATAATGTATAGTTCCTAATGCATTGAACAAGGATAACTATAGGCAATCTCTCTCACACTTACATGCTGCGCCTGAAACAGATTGAAGAGGTGGGGCTATTCTATCCCACTCAGGATACCAGAATCCTATTGGTCCCGTACCCCTACTATGTTGCGTGGAC